CATCAGGAAACGTCCTATCATTGGTAACAGTCACATCAGTGGTAGTAACTTCATCAAAACTGAGTACAGTTTCTTCTTTGACAGTGGCTTCTTCAGGTGGCACGTCTTCAGCAGCGTCATTTGTTCTGTTGTTCACTTCATCTCAACTGAAATGTCCTAGACCGTGATAATGCCAAAGCCTGTTGGCATGCACCACTTTTGGCTTACCTCATCGACCACATTTTATCCAGAAAGTCATGTCTGAGAGACGATCCACTATGTCATATGGGCCTTCCCATGGAGAAGACAACCTAGGAGACTTCCCTTTGGTTTTCCTGGGATTATACAGCCACACCTTGGCTCCTGGTTCAAAGCTGACTTCAGTAGATCTCTTATCACAAGATAGCTTCATGGAATCAACAGACATTATCAAGTTTGAACGCACTTGATGGTGAATATGATCCATCCTTTCCGATAACACTTTCACAAACTCTGGCACATTCTCAGGCAACTCTTCATAAGGTGGGCGTCCTGTTTGCTTGGGTCCACTTTTAGCACTACATGTACTGCACCATTCTTCCACATCTTGCCTCATACCTATCCAGTAAAATCTTTGTTGTAGATGACTCGATGTCTTCCTAATGCCGATATGTCCTCCTGTTAAACTATCATGGGATTGACGCAGCAAAACTTCCCGTAACTTTATCGGTATAACCGTTTGCCAGGTCGTCACTTTCTCATCTGTAGTTTCCCATCTCTGGACAAGAATACCATTTTCAAGCTTCAACTGGTCCCATTGTGCCCGATAGTGCTTTGTCAAAGGGTTTAGACTAGACACCTTCTCCCAAGCAGGGCGCAAAACACTTATGTTTAGAAAATCAATCATTGGCTTTAAATCTTGGTCTTTCCCCTGTTCTGCTTTGATATCTATATTTGGTTCCACTTCATCATCATCAACTCTTTCAGTCAGCTTGATGGCACCTGGTTAGTTCAACCTCTCTTTTAACAGTTACCGGAACTTGGCCTTTGTTGTTTCCAAACGTCATTTTATCAAAATTAATTACAAACTTCCTCGAAAGT